ACACACAATTGACAAAACAGTTAATTTCATGCTCAAAATCACACAACACACAATTTTCAAATTACAATAATACACTAACACAATACACTATATCTACCAAAACACTGCAAACATGTCTCAATTTTGAATCGTTGTGTGTAAACGATGACAACTGTGCTTTAGTCGTGTTTAACTTTTGACGCTTGTGTTTAGCATTTTGCAGCACAAATGCATCACAGTTTGATAAGTGTTTAAGTGAATGAGAATGTGTTTAGAGTTTTGCAAAAAGAGTGCATGAGATTTGCAAATAGAGCTTAACTGCCTGAACGTGTTTAAGGTTTAGCAGAAAGAGTGCTTTATTTGACAGATTGGTTTAAGCTATAGTGAGAATTTGGCAATTCAGAAAAACTGTAATAGTATTCCTATCAGATATATATATTTTGTTAAAATGTGGATTTCTCAGGTGATAAAAGACTTACATTCCTTAACACTGAAACCAGTGTTTATATGTAATGCTGCTTACACTGCTATTAACATATGCCAGTGTAGGTATGTAGATCCATTACATGTGTGTACAAGTTGTGAATATGCATACAGAGCATTGGGGCGGTGCTGGAGGGGGCGGTGCATGTGTGCCTGCAGGGCCAGGTATGTTAATCAGGTATTCATTATGATTAAATACGAAGACGAAGGGTTGAGGTGCGATTGAAAGCTAGGTAAAATATGTATCTAATTTTCTAGATTGCCACCTAGCTTTTTAATTTCAGCAGGTACTTGGCAGAAATTTGCATGGCATTTAGGCACTCATTACAATATTAATCTTCCCACAAAAGTTGCAAGGGCTCAAAGGTTAAGCATGATTCCTACATTAATTTTACAACGACTTTTTTTGACCTGTATAAAGATTCTCATTTACAAAGGTGCTCATTTGCCTCACTAACTGGTTCATAATGAGGGCAAAGATAAAGTATTGAAAGAAAAAAATGTGAATCAGATGTGTTGCTGTTCAAAAATTAGTATTAGAGAGACTGACATTTTTAATACATGTTGTAGAACTTTTATAACATACTGTTTTATACAGATCGTTGTTCTTTATTGAAATCAACCTATATCTTTTCAGAGGGTCTGCTCTTCTGTTAATATCAGTGAATTCATTTGTAAACATGTTTAAGAAAAAAAATATGTTAATTTGAAGTGATATACAAAAAAGAATCAGTGCTGTCAGGTTTATGACATGAATGGTACAAGAACTCAACATGACAAATAACAAATATGATCTACTAGAAATTCTAAGCAAGATTCACATGCCACTTCAAATGAGGCCAAATGTTTAAACTCCAGAACTCTATCATTTATAAGTTACCTAAAAGGCAATGTCATATAACAACAGAAGTGCTTACTCAAAGCTTAGACAGTAAAGTTAGTTCACCTTAGTTTACCTTAATGTGTTGCACGTTATACAGTTAATAGCAATGATGTTCTGGATCTTTAAAAAATCAGTTAGATCAAAAATATGAAGCATGATATTTTCCATCATATCTTTCAGGTCTACTTAAAGATAATCTTGTGCTTGTTGATGTACTGCAATTTTAAGACTGCAATGGAGTCTGTGGGTTAAATTAAAAGGTGATGCTGCATTATGGTCGGAATGGGTGGTCACTGTTATGGAAGGACAGACTGTGATGAACAGCTGTCATATTTAATATTAATGTCAATATTAAAGTTAAATATATGTGTTTGAAGAAGTCTAATATTGTGAAATTATAAGTACTACAACTGTCTTTATTGACATTCACAATTATAGGCCACAAGCCACAAGCCACAATTGATTGCAAATATAATCCCACAATAATAAGTGTTGTTATGGTAATTTTTAAAATAACTTTTATGACAATTATTTTAATAACTTTTATGACATTATTAACAAACATATTATAAAGCTTAACGGATCAGTAATGTACATTCACATAAAAATATAATATCAAGGAAAATGTATTGTTTAATTAGCCTACATTTACATTTACATTCATTTAGCTGATATCACGCACTATTCTTATGTTTAGTAATAAAACTGATTTAGTAAAAAAAGGTTATGGAAGAAAACGTGTCAGCAAAATGACAGCTTAAAAGCTAAAGACACCAACGAAATAATATATATATCATCATTTGTCTCTGCGCGCAATCTTAAAAGTTGTATTCGCTTTTGAGAGTAAGAACACAAGTCCCCGCCCAGCACTGGCAAATGGCCAATAATATTTAAAGGCGTGTGCCATCGCGGTGCTTATTGGCTGAGAGAGCTGTCACTCCAGCCTTTAGTGGGCTGGCTAATTGAATCGCTGAGTGCGATACACTTCTATCCATCTCACTCGCGAAGAAGGTAGTTGCACATTACCGACTATCAGCAGTCGCTACCGGAGCCGCATGAGAAACACCGAGTGAAAGCCGCGAAACAGTACGAGGAGCCAGCAAAGTGTGCTTGACTCAAAAGTACGGAAAGGAGGAAACTTCGCATAAACTATGGCCGTATCATCAACTCCTCCGGTGCTTTCACCGACCTCCACTACCGGGGGCGCGAGCAGCCTGTTCCGTCCCGACTCTCTGTACTCCAGCCCGGCCGAGTCCCCGCGACTGACCAGCAGCATGATCAACTCTTTCATCACCGGCACCGGCGGCGGCAGCACTAACGGGAACGGGCCCGGCGGTGTCCATAATAACGAGTGTAAGATGGTGGAGGTGCACGGCGTGAAAGTGGCCTCGTTCACCGTGGACGGTCAGGAGCTCATCTGCCTCCCGCAGGTGTTCGACATGTTCCTGAAGCACCTGGTCGGCGGACTGCACACCGTCTACACCAAGCTGAAGCGGCTGGATATATGTCCGGTGGTGTGCACGGTGGAGCAGGTGCGGATCCTGCGCGGACTTGGGGCCATTCAGCCGGGCGTGAACCGGTGCAAACTCATCACCCGAAAAGACTTCGAGGCGCTTTATAACGACTGCACCAATGCGAGGCAAGTCTTATACCTATCACATATACAGCTCACATTTACACTCAGCTGTGGAATCTGATGTGCTTTTCAAGTTCATTCAGAACTAGCAGAGTTGTCGTACTTGGAAAAGTTTCTAACACTTTATGATAACTTTAATACAAACAATTCCATGCATGCATAAATATGAATAGTTATGGAAATATATGAATTACACGTTTATGACATTACTATTTTGACGCACGTGATCTAAACAAGTTAATGAATGTTTTAAGTTCATTTACCTATTAAAAAGTTATTATAAAGTGCTATTTGTGAACTTGTCAAAACACATAAAATGTCAAAAATTAAACTTTTGTCTAAAATTGGTTGCAGTCAGCTTTTCTTTCTGCCAAACCACCTGCAGTTTTGACCTCTTTTCCGTTTCGAATCAAATCATTGTACTGGGAAAAATACAGTAATAATAAAAGTAATAAAAACGTGAAATTAATGACAGCTTTCTCCAGAATCAAGCAAATAACTTTGTTCGAATCTTTTTGACTCATTTTTCTCGCTGGCCACTCGACCTGCTTTTTACGTAACTGTTTTTATACAAGCGTTTATTAAAGCGCATACATGGTCATTTTATTATCTATATGATTCAAATAAACTAAAAACAATAATATGATATTTATATACACTTGCAAGGATATATATATATATATATATATATATATATACACCAACAAAATCTAATTTCAATAGTGTTTCAGCTGCCTTGTATTAAAATCTGTTTGCAAGGCAGATTTTTATACTCTCAAATTCTGTTTAAGCTAATTGAATTTGGAGGATTTATTTAACTGATGTCATAAAACAATCCGGCATAAACTATGGCCGTATCATCAACTCCTCCGGTGCTTTCACCGACCTCCACTACCGGGGGCGCGAGCAGCCTGTTCCGTCCCGACTCTCTGTACTCCAGCCCGGCCGAGTCCCCGCGACTGACCAGCAGCATGATCAACTCTTTCATCACCGGCACCGGCGGCGGCAGCACTAACGGGAACGGGCCCGGCGGTGTCCACAATAACGAGTGTAAGATGGTGGAGGTGCACGGGGTGAAAGTGGCCTCGTTCGCCGTGGACGGTCAGGAGCTCATCTGCCTCCCGCAGGTGTTCGACATGTTCCTGAAGCACCTGGTCGGCGGACTGCACACCGTCTACACCAAGCTGAAGCGGCTGGATATATGTCCGGTGGTGTGCACGGTGGAGCAGGTGCGGATCCTGCGCGGACTTGGGGCCATTCAGCCGGGCGTGAACCGGTGCAAACTCATCACCCGAAAAGACTTCGAGGCGCTTTATAACGACTGCACCAATGCGAGGCAAGTCTTATACCTATCACATATACAGCTCACATTTACACTCAGCTGTGGAATCTGATGTGCTTTTCAAGTTCATTCAGAACTAGCAGAGTTGTCGTACTTGGAAAAGTTTCTAACACTTTATGATAACTTTAATACAAACAATTCCATGCATGCATAAATATGAATAGTTATGGAAATATATGAATTACACGTTTATGACATTACTATTTTGACGCACGTGATCTAAACAAGTTAATGAATGTTTTAAGTTCATTTACCTATTAAAAAGTTATTATAAAGTGCTATTTGTGAACTTGTCAAAACACATAAAATGTCAAAAATTAAACTTTTGTCTAAAATTGGTTGCAGTCAGCTTTTCTTTCTGCCAAACCACCTGCAGTTTTGACCTCTTTTCCGTTTCGAATCAAATCATTGTACTGGGAAAAATACAGTAATAATAAAAGTAATAAAAACGTGAAATTAATGACAGCTTTCTCCAGAATCAAGCAAATAACTTTGTTCGAATCTTTTTGACTCATTTTTCTCGCTGGCCACTCGACCTGCTTTTTACGTAACTGTTTTTATACAAGCGTTTATTAAAGCGCATACATGGTCATTTTATTATCTATATGATTCAAATAAACTAAAAACAATAATATGATATTTATATACACTTGCAAGGATATATATATATATATATATATATATATATACACCAACAAAATCTAATTTCAATAGTGTTTCAGCTGCCTTGTATTAAAATCTGTTTGCAAGGCAGATTTTTATACTCTCAAATTCTGTTTAAGCTAATTGAATTTGGAGGATTTATTTAACTGATGTCATAAAACAATCCGCACAACAAAGATGTTTTTTTTTTTTAACTAGCATGCATTTTTACTTTTTGTCTTTATAATCTTTATAAGTTAACCTTTCCTGGATCTACTAGATGTATAACTTTCATTGGGACGTTTTATTGACTCATTATGCTTTATTGATCATTATGTGTTTAGAAACTTTTGGGTTTTTAATACAGTTATATTTGATGTCAACCCCCCGCCCCCTTTTATTCTTGCTTATACAATGACAGCTCTTTGGACTAAGGGTCATACTTCGGTTGTATTTCACTTTATTTTGTTATTTGCAGCTCCACTGAGTCAGGCTCACATAAATAGACATCAATATCATTTATGCACTTTTATGCACCCATGTCATATCCAGGGCCAGATCTGGAGTTCTTGTTTGATACTCCATTTGTCTGGATGATATCCCACGTCTCATTTGGATAAGGTGTTGGGCCATGTTGCATAAATCACTGAATCACCTCTCCTGGATCTGTGGCTGTGTTTGGCGTAGAGATGTTATTCTTAGCTTGTTATCATGACAGATGCATTAGTGTTCTCAGGCACCTGCAGCAATATCAGCTTATGTGTGTGTGATTGGTGTGGTGGGACTCAAGGGAGCAAGTGCACCTTTATCATCCAAGAAAAAAAAAATCTCTAATTATATGTTAGTATGAAAACTGCAGCATCTTTGCTTTTAGTGGAATGACAGTCAAAACATTGTGCATAAAAAGTCTCTGTCCGGAAATGCACTTAATTTGACGTTTTAAAAGACACTTAACAAATCATTTTGAAATCATTTGTGTTATTTATATAAAAATGAATAACAAAATAATTACACATATATATTTGTATATTACACAATATAAAATATAAATTAAATATAATTTATAAATTATATTAAATATATATATTTTTAAGTAAAGCCTGTCCCGAAATGTTCACAGCCGTAACCTTACAACTTAAGTAACTCTGTGTATTCCTCTCCATGAAGTGCTTTGCATCAGGTCTAGTATTTCCAATTTTCTATTTCCATTTTCTTACTTTCTCACAGGTAAAAGGTCAGGTATTGAAAATATGTTTGGGGTGAGAAGGTTCAGGAACGTGATCTTAAAGTGCGCTTTTGCACAGTGGATGTGTGTGGAGATGCACGCATGTGTGTTTTAGGGAGCGAGGGAGAGAGAGAGAGTGCATATCCAGATGGCCATTCTGGGCAAGGTTCGGTAATTAACCTTTTAACATCCCCAGCACAACCTCCAGAAGAATCCCTCGTCACTTTATTGGGCTTTGCGCAGTTCTGAATCAATCTGCCGTGAACATCTAATTAGAAATGAGAGCGAGGAGAAAGTGAGCGGGGGAGAGACCGTTTTACAACATTATTTTGTTTAATTTTGAGTCCAGGCAAAATGGACAATAAGAGAATGAGGTGCGGAACGCTGCGCTTTTCACTCTTCTGTCAGATTGCAGCATACGGTCGGATAATGAAATTGCCTGAGCAATGGGCCCCCCTGAAATTGAATTTGCTCCTCGGCATCGTTGCTTTACAGTTCACCTTCGCAAGCATCGCTTTTATAGTCAGATTTAAACATCATCCACCGTCCCGCTACCAGATGGCTGAAACTAATGTG